TTGAGTTTCTGTACATCTCCCTCCATCCCTCCCTCTCTTTCTCTCTCTTCCTCCCTCCTTCCCTTCCCTTCCCTTCCCTTCCCTTCCCTTCCCTTCCCTTCCCTCTCCTCTCCTCTCCCCTCCTCTCCTCTTCTTCTCTCTCTCTCTCTCTCTCTCTCTCTCTCTCTCTCTCTCAATTCTAACTAGAATGTGCTATTTAAAATATTCTCCAAGAACAACTGGAGAACTTTAAACTTTCATATTAGCCAAACAGCTCAGTGGAAATTGGTGCTGTAGTGCAAAGAGTATAGAAAGAGTGCATCAGAGTCACAGCTGGTTGCTCTCTTCATCCTGAAAGGTCTATGAATTTTCCATTGATTTTATTAAATTAATTCCTCCAATGGTGATATGAGAAAGTGATGCTCTTAGGTCATGTACTGGCAGCTGCCGTGAAGTCAGAGGTAAAGAGAAAACTTCTTCTCCCCCGAAAAAATCCATCTCCTTGTACATCCATGTAATACAAGGATGGAATCACATCTAAAGTGTATTTTTAGAGTTTTGGTGAAAATGATTATACATAATACTGATTTTGGAATGAAAATTAAACCTTTTTTATAATTTATACTGTCACAGGGAGAGACAGGAGATTTAAGCCTGGGCTTGAACTAAGATTGTTACCATTGAAACCAGCTCCAAACGAGTCAGCCCACTTTAAAAAAAAAAAAAAAATGCCCAGAACATCTTGTATGATTGAATCTGTTAGTAGAAGTTGTTTCATCCTGTTACCTAACCACTTCCACCCCCCAACAAGAATTATTTTTTTTAGTTTGATGATATCTTGAATTCTTCCCAAACTTCCATTGTTCCCAATGACATAGGAAATCAGCAGACAGTCCCCCACAGGTACCCTGGCACGTGGGAGAAGGCTTAGAAGAGATTAAAAGCTCTTAGATGAAGGACTAAGGATCCTGGGTTCAACTGGTATCAGAGTTGTTCTCTTCTCCTTGAGAGAAGATCCTGTATAGAAACCTAAAATTATGGAAATCTGCCAAGCAAAGAAGTCAGCCCAGGCCCTGGGAACTCAATGAAAATAAGGATAGGGCTCTTCTGAGAGCACCATCCCTGAGACACACAAAGGGCCATCCACCCTACCCTTGTGCAGTTCCTCTGCTGCTCCACCTCCCACACAGTCTTCCAAACCACCCGCTTCTTCCTTCCTTAATTTCCATAAGCTCTGTAGGAAAGAGGGGAACACAGAAGAGAATGAAGACGTCAAATTTCTAAGTCTTGAAATGTTCAAGCATGGGATTAGAGGGCAGTTACTATTTCTGTCATAACACAAGATCCCTTCCCACCTCTTTCTTCTCAAACATGGTATTTTCTTGAAACATCAGTCTCAGGGTACAAGTGGTAGCTATCAAAGTCAATTTTGGGGTTAGGGGTGTTTATAACTTTTCTTCCCATACAACATACCACAAACCCATAATTACACAGTTAAATGGGATGCAGCCTCTCACTCGTTTGGAGTAATTTTGGAATCACATCCAAAATGTATTATGAGAGTCCTAGTGAAAATGATTATATAAAATGCAGATTTTGGAATGAAAATTAAACCGTTTTTATAATTTATAAATTGTATACACAAAAAATTAAATTATTAAAAAACTCCCCAGAGCTTCTAATGCCTCACTTGTATAGACAGTGTGACAATCCCACCACTCATCTCTGTACTTCAGTCTCCCACCTTTCTCTCCACTCCTCTTTCCATGTTGGTATCTCAGGGAGGCTTTTAGGCACCATCCTGCTTCCATAGTTAGGTTACTCCATATTTAAACTTCTCAATGAATTGCGTTTCCTACAAAATAAAGCCCAAACTCCCAAGTAGCACAGTAAACTACCAAGAGTTCCCCAGATACACTGCACTCTGGAGTCTCAGGGTCTTTGCATTTGCTGCCCCCTGCCTAGAATGCTGTCTCCCACCTTCACCTGGGCAGCTCCTACTAGTATTTCAAAACTCAATTGCAGTGTTACCACTCCAAGCAACTCTCCTCAATTCTTCCCATTCTGGATTTTAGTCCCTCCATTCTGCTCCCTTAGTACTTTGTGAATTTGTCACAAAAAAGATACATTGAATATTAATTATCTTATTTATCCACTTTCTTTCCCAACTAGACTGATAATTTATTGTAAATAGAAACTATACCATTTGCTTCTGTCCCCAGTAGGCTCTCTGGCACGTAGTAGGAGTACATAAAGCATTTATTGAATTGAGACACTTGTGGTCTAGGAAGGAAGGCTGGGGGTAACAAATCTGTAATGAGGCATGATACTTAACAGAGTAAGGAGCAGGGGCAATGAACAGAGACTGGACAACTCTGCTTGGGAACAGGATACATTTGAGGAAGGTGCTCTAGAGCAGAAGAATCTTGGGTTGGCCTTGAGAAACACCAGGAAATTACCAAGGCTATGAGGAGGAGAAGGCAAAGAAAAAGGGGGCACTTGAGAGAATCTGAATGCCTCAGTATGACCATTTGGGAAGACTTCCCTTAGAAAGTGGATAAGAAGTAGAGATGGGAGCCTGGCAGGGTGGCACATACCTGTAATCCCAGTGGTTCTGAAGGCTGAGGTTGCAGGATTGCAGGTTCAAAGCCAGCCTCAGCAAGGGTGAGATGCTAAGCAACTCAGTGAAACCCTGTCTCTACATAAAATACAAAAAAGGGTCAGGGATGTGGCTCAGAACTTAGGTGCCCCTGAGCTCAACCCCCAGTACCCCTCCCCTCAAAATCCTTCTTTAGCTTCTAATAAAAACACTTCCCCAGCCCCTTTCTAATCACAAAGAAAATAACCGCAAGGTGCTAAGCAACTCAGTGAGACCCTGTCTCTAAATAAAATA